CCCAACCATTTTAAACGAATTACGGTGAATACATCATCTATATATGATCTATTGATAGTCTCGAAAACCCTTAAATAAACGAAAAATGATATAGACTTGCTTCCCAAAAATTATACTCCCCTAAGCTTTACTGGAGCGCAATTTCAGCCTCCCTAATTTCACATCAGCACCTCTGTGGGACTCGAACTCGGGTTGTTAAGTGCGGCGTTTATTCTCGACATGTTACCCCCACGTCACACTGAAACGAGTGCCCTTCGATTTAGGAGAAAATATGAATGTCAAGGAATACCAGGTCTTTTCCATATCTAATTCTTGCAGCTACAATCTTCACTTAAATTCAGATTAAGATTCAGATTCAACATTTATTGATAGTCTCAAAAATTAGTTAATCTGAAAACAGAGTTTTGTAGCGGTATGATATGTTCCGGTGATTTTCAAACGATTGCAGGTTGGTAGTACGTTGTCAGTTTGCAAGTACTGTCATATATACTCATATCATTGTGGGAAGATTCAGCTACCAGTCCTCCAATCACCCTAAACGAAATAGAGTGAATACGTCGTGTATATATGATCAATTGTTAGTTTCGCTTTGTTTATAGATATGAACGAAAAATGATACAGACTTGCTTCCCAAAAAGTATACTCCCCTAGGCTTTACTGGAGCGCAATTTCAGCCTCGCTTATTTTACATCGGCACCTCTGCGGGACTCGAACTCGGGTTGTTAAGTGCGGCGTATAATCTCGACTTGTTACGACCACGTCACACTGAAATGAGTGCCCTTCGGTTTAGGAGAAAATATGGATGTCAAGGAATACCAGGTCTTTTCCATATCTCATTCTTGTCGCTACAATCTTCACATAAATTCAGATTCAGATCCAGATTCAACATTTATCGATAGTCTTAAAAATTAGCTTATCTGAAAACAGTTTTGTAGCGTGCTATAACATGTCCCGGTGAGTTTCAAACGATTGTCAGTTTGCAATTACTGTGAAGGCCTTGTTCGAGTCCCGCCGGCCTGTTGGTTCGTGCCGTCCCGTCCCGGTTACCAGACGCCCGGCTGGCTTAGACAGTCCGAGCAGCCGGAGTCGGAGGTGCATGGGCAATCGAATGGGCTAATCAGATGATGATGCTCTGACCTTTTTACATAAAAAAAGACAGTCTTCCACAGTGTAGCCATGCTGTTTTTGTGCTCCCGATGCCTATCTCCACTGGATGCACTCCACATCTTCTGGCCTCACTCCAACCCTCTTGGAGGCTTGCGCCCAACCGGCACACGACAGGCAATCGGACGACTCATGGAGGCTGCGAGGCAAGAAAGAGTTACTGTTGGTGCACAGACCCGAACTCGCAAGGTCTTGTTGGCGTGCGATTGCTGTACTATCGGGTAACCAAAGTTTGCATACGCGCTTGTCCGTCTGCATTGGCCAGTTGTTCTGGTTGGATTTTATGGCCTACACACAGACATACACACACCCACATATAGATATACAGACATACACCTTATGAGTCCCACCGACCCAAGTGTCTCGAGTTGGGAAGTGGGGCCAGGTGAAAGATAGCGTACAACTGCTGCCTGAATCAGGACATCTCGAAGACTCCGGCCCAAGAGCCGACTGTCATACATGTCTAGGGTTTTTATCTATTTCGGTGTGTTTGCATGTGCAAGTACACAATTTGGGGTTTATGGCTAGCGCGAATATGGACAGAGGGGCTACTTTCACTCCGGCCTGCGGATGGGGCCAAAAGAGGTTGGGGGTGCAAAATGGGAAGAATTATGTACATTGTCGCTGGCTAATCATTTTTTAATGATTGTACCTCTAATTTATCCCAATGGTGGTCTTTCACTCCCTCTCTCTCTCTCTCTGTGTGTGTGTTTTAATTTCGTCCTCGAACTCATGAATGTGTGCTCGGGTCTCAAGACGAGCACGCCTAGATTGACATGCACCTGTTCTCTAAGCCTGAGGCCCGTTGGTAGCGCCTCGCCGTCTTCACGACCCGACCCGACCCGACCCTCTTCGGCTCAACTCGCTCAACCCAATTCAAGTCTGGCCAGCTCAGCCCAACACTCTCTCATGTCCTGTCCAACTCGACCCCTCATGTACTCCTGTTTCACTCACTTTTGGATGCTCCAGTCTGTGAGAATGGTTGCTGCAATACTCAGAGGCCACTTATTGCAAACCGACTCTCTGGACGGAAGTCAGTCGACCCCAAATGAGGCTGGCATGACTAGACGTTGTGACCTCATCAGAAAGATGGTCCTTTGATTTCACCTCGCCTAGGTAGGAGCGATAAAGCCAACTCATTGTTTCCATATGTCCGTGTGTGTCAGTTTATGTACAGGAGAGAGAAAAAGAGACAGAGATAGAGGCATAGAGGATATGAGATTGAGGGAAAGGGATAAGGTCTTTTGGCTCTTTCAGTCATTATCTTCTGCAGTCAAAGGCAACGAGAATACAAGTAGCTCGAGGTCTCCACATGAACCCAAATGAGAACAAGTTGAACTCATCTGCACTCGAGAAGGACCCCATCAGCGTACAGCTTAATGGGGCAGATGTGCACTCTCTTTCTCTTTCTGTATTTCTGTCTGTCTATTCATCTGTCTGTCCGCCTCTGTCCGGCCATCTGTCTGTCCAACAGGGCCTCGAGAATTGTCGACCTGACTTATTTCCAACACAGAGTGTCACGTTCGAGTCCTGACAGAGCATTCGGTTCGGCTCTAGGATCGAGTTCAAGTCAGGCGATTTCTTGCAATCAAAAGATCCGTCTCACAGGAAGCCCTTTTTCACCTCTAGGAGCCTAAATCTCCGGCATTGAGGCGCATATGCTTGTGCCGTGATTGCCAAAAGCCCTACGAATTGGTTTCCGGGACTGAGGAACCAACGCACTATTCGGGCACATTTTGGCCACCTTAAAGACGTGCGACTTAGAAACGGCCGAGGGCATAGGACATATTTTTTGATGAACATGGCTTCTTAATCGTCGAGAGTGAAATTAGCGTCATGGGAGGTTCAGGATGTGCCGGCGGTTATTTATGTATCTATGATATGTGTTCATTCTATTTCAATTAAGCTGATGAAGGACTAGTAGCTGAATTTTCCCACAACGATATGAGAAGACATGGCGTATCAATTGAATTTCGCATAGTCTTGCTTTCTCAAAAGTTGTTTCCTGGGCAGTTCATCTTGAATGATAATATCTTTCTGTAAGCAAAGCTATGTGAAGGTATAAGGACCAAGATGTTGTGGCCTTTTGTGTGGTCGCAGTCTCCTTTCGTTGAATAGAAGTTGTTTGACCTTGTT